GCTAAACAAATTTTCGTCTGAATAATCACTTGACTAAGGGATGGCTAACTTCAATTCTTAGCTTGTTTGGCATTAAATTCTTCACGAAATTTGTTATAAAAATGGCAACATCGTTGTGTTCTTTTCGTTAATGATAAAGATCATTTCAGGGAAGTCTATTTGTTAAATAAAAAATCGAAAAAAGGCATATTCAGTTTCTTTAAGTTCCACTCTTTGCGTTTTAACGGTGTTGTGCGCGATTGAGATGAGCTGTCAGGCCGGTGCTTGCTTCTCAACTCTATGAAAGAGTTTTACAGCATTACGCCTTTTCCCCAGTCTAAGAAACTTTATCAATTCTTTTCTTAATGTAGTATTCATAAATCCGTATATGAGAGGATTAAAAATATTAGACAACCCCCCTAACAATGTGAACATAAGATAAAAAGGCCTTGGAAGAGACCAACAGTTACGAATGATATCAACAAGTTCGATGAGAAGGACTGGAAACCAGCAGAAACAGAAACAAACCACAATAGCAAACATCATACGCGTAACTTTGACTTCCTGGACGTTGGGACCACCTGTCTTTGAAGATGTAAAGACAGTATTTTTGTGTCTTTTTACTGCTAGAAATATTTGAAAATAACAGAAAAGTACAACAAGCGATGGCAAGCCGACGTAGAATACGGCCAGCAAAATGAGAAACCAATCTGTTTCTACAGGTACATAGCATAATACTTTTGCAGGAATAAATACAAACCTGTGTCCAGTCACAAGGAACATTACGGGAGCTAAAATCCCTAGTGACCATACCACAAATATCATGGTTAGGGTCCTTTTGAAGGTGAAGTAACGACGATAAAGGTTGTTTTTGACAACGCTATAAAACCGTGATATTGACATGAGGGCAATGGTCAAAAGCGAACAAGTCCCTAGCAACAAAACCATGAAGCCTTGGAATTGACAAACCACATCGTCGAAGAGCCACTCAGATGCAGCCAGACTAGTGTGCGAAATTGGAACCACTGCTATGCCATTCAAGAACCCGGATACAGAAAGTGAGACGATCAGAGTGTTTGGAATCGCCCGTCTCAAGTTGTGATTTCTTAACACGATGACCAGCGCTAGAAAGTTTCCAATTATGGTCGTGGACTCACCTAAGGAAAATAGCACATTCTCTGTCACAAAAGTAGCCGAGCTTCTTGATTGAAGTTCTCTTTGCATTTGAAGAAGATTATTGGCGGTTTCGTTACTCATTTTAGTCTTTCTCATCCGTTCAGATTTAATTGAACACAATCGGGAACCAAAATCGACAAACTGTTTTAACAATTTAAAGTATATTTGGCTGTGATTTTGATATTAAAATCGAATAGACTTTCAAGCTGGAATAATCGTGCAAACAGCTGCTTTTCCTTATTTATCAAGTGGTTTTTCTTCTTTTGTAGCAAAGCAGTTCGCAATTTATTAAAACTTGAGACTTGTGAGCTCACAAGTAATTAATTTACTTCCCATAATAAATCAAGATATATCGTAAGGCATTGCTGCATCCGAAAGGAGGCTAGATATATTGTGCTTAATGAGTAATGCAGTATGGCCTGATTACTAAAATATAATAAAGCTATTGCCTTGAAAACATCCATGATGGAGTTGATTTAATGGGCGAACAAGTACAATATAACCAATCTTCCAAAAAACACCTTCCCAGTAGTGCAAGTGCGTGCAAGCATTCTTCGGTTTCAATTTTTTTCCTCGTCACCGCAAAACCTGTCAGYCAATTTCAGGTTGTTGACAAGTCGCTACATTTGTTGTTGGCTCTATAGTGTTATTTCGATTACTTTTCCAGCACTTTAACACTTTCATATACTCYCTTCTAAAAGTTGGATTCATTAGGCCATATAGAATCGGATTTATTCCACACGAAATTCCAGCCCCAAAGCTGTGAATCARATATACTACTCTTGGTAGAGTGAACGTAGGCCGTGCGCAATCAATCATGTTAATGATGTAAGTTGGTGTCCAGCAAATACTGAAACATAAAACAATTGCGAACATCATTCGTGTGATTTTGATTTCTTGAACACTAGTCATGTTTTGTCTAGATTGGAACGCGTTTGACTGATGTTTTACAACTGTAAGGAATATTCTAAAATAGCAGTACGTWAGTACAATTACTGGAAGTGCGACTAAAGTCGACATTAATGTCACAACGTAAAATCTCCATTCAACTTTTGTAATGTTGGCAAAGCATACCAGCTTTGAGGGGATGAAAACCGTGGCGCCCGGAAGCAGTAATGGCGCAGAAAACGCGACGCCGCATACCCAAGAACATACTATCATCATTGCTGTGCGCTTTTTAGTAAAATATCTTTGATACAAACTGTTCTTAACAACCTTAAAGAATCTGTTAACGGAAGTCATAGCAATGGTTATCAAGGCTATGGATGATGAGAATGTAATCATATAAGCTTGAAAATGGCACGTTTCAGAACCAAAAATCCACGAAGACTTGATCATCACCACCAATGCCGTCATTACAACAGTTAGTCCCATGAAAATATCKGCAACTGCAAGCGAAGCGGTAAACATATTTGTAGCAGTTCGAAGAGACCGATTTTTATACATGATGTATAGAGTCAAGATGTTTCCAAAAACCGCCAAGAAAACAACAGCACCCGCCACGATGGACTCAAGCACAATTTCARCAAAAGACCTCGATTCTAGTTCTTCTTGCATTTTCTGAAAAATATCTTTAGCTAGAAGAGATTGGTTGGAATTGCCATTCGTAGTTGCCATGGTTCCAATTTTTCTGGTACGGCTTTTGATATTAGAAAATATTGAAATCTTCTAGCTTTGWTGTCTCTAGCTGAGGTTTTCTTGAGTCTGGCTTTTCGATTCAAAATTGTCATTTGTTTTTTTCCATCTATTTGTTCTTATCCGTGTTTTCTATTATTAATTTTGCGTCCTTTTTCTGCTTATCTTATTCCAGACAAGTTATTCTTGTTTTAATTCTTTTAATCAAAGACGCCTGATGGATGTTTCCAGTGTTGCCTGATTAGAAAAAACAATTAGAAAAACKTTGAGCCGCAGCTAGACAATTATCACAACTTATTCTTACATAGCAATAATGGTAATACATCAGTGCCATAGAAACCAACTCTAAACAAAAATATGTTTCAAGCGAGCGGTACCAACGACATCGCGGCTAATTGCCGCCCTTTTATTTAAAATTGATTTTTTCACATTTTTTTCCTTTTCCTTTTGGCCATGTCAATCTAAGAAATTAGTTTTACTGATAACAAATCAGATATGATATATAGATCACATTCAATATTTTCTTAGTTGTGAATGTTTTAATATGTTTCGTAAAACATCTGATATTTTAATTGTAATATTTTAGGATGGTCTCCTGGGGTTGGTTGGAATTCGCGAGGGACGTCCGCTTATATTTTTATTGCATTATTAGAATTGTGAATAAGGTATAAAGTAAACAAAGTATCCTTTAGATTAGATTTAACTCAGAGAATATTATTATTATGGCAACGATTCTATGTTTTTTTCCCAGCCTTTTTATAACAAKGTGAATTAACACATTGGGCTACTGCATATTATATAAGATTTCGGTAGATGGTAACAGTCTCTTTATTTTTCCCAACAACACAAATCATTACATATTCCATCCAAAAAATTCGTCTAAACGAGTGGCTTATAAAACAGCAGTTTAATTTCTTGAGATCTACATGAATTCCAGCCCTGTTTCAACTACAATCATCAAGTTACTATCATATTCTAGCACTGGACATTTTGTGGATGGTCACATCCGTTGGCTTTTTGATTAAATTTCAATACCGAACCGCAGCTGAATTTAACTGGCTTGCCTGAGGAGCAAATAAAAAATCCATGGCAATCATTGGGATCAGCCAATGGGACTCCAGAGGGCTTTCCTTGGCAGAATCCTAAACATCAGTAATAAATGAAACATAAATAAAAAAACTGATAACATATAGCAAATAAACACAGAAGACTTTGTATAATATAAATACGAGAAATACGCTTAATATTTTTCGATGAAATTTCGTAGTTATGTCTATCGACTTTCATTTTTGAAATAGAAAATATATTGCTATTTTGATGTCTTTTGCTAGCTGGTATGTCTTGTGTGCTACCTCTGAAGAGCCGACTCAACGTACTGGTGATCAACTGCATGAGTTGATAATTCGGTTGAATTTCACTTTAGTTTGGTTGTGGGATAAAAACGAAGGACAAACTGGTGATTGGATGTTGTCATGCAAATGTATTTTTAAAAGCAACGTCAATTTTTAAATGAAAATWCTTCATTTTACAGTTCGAACCACCATCTTGACTGGTTCGATTGATACCAGTGTGAAAAATTGTCCTAGGTGCGAACAAAAGATCGATCACTGCGGGCTCAACACCTGSCTGGCTTTGATGTAAAGGCTCAGTTAGCTTTCAAGATGGCGCTGGGTGCTGTGCGTTGTAGTAATAGAATTCATCTTAACTAACCTCCTCCGCTTCCACCTGAAGTAGTGGGAGGAACTGGTGTAGGCGCCATTGTTGGGGCTTGGGTAGGAAGAGTGACAGGAGGGTTTGTAGCGCCTCCTCCGCTGGTTGGAATAGGTCCTGGCACTGGAAACAGCAAAATATACGTATTTCCTTATAAAGGTCTCAGTTTTGTTYGGTAAATTAAACCTACCCATCCCTCCTGAAGGATAAGGTGCTTTGTCGCCTTGTCCGAAGCACTTGATACCAGATGGGCCACCTACAAATATAATCACACCATCTTTTCATATTATATTTCTATAGTATACAGGTTTTAACCTTCGGACTGCTGTGTTTAAATCAAATCATTTTTCGCCCAGTTTAATTTCAGACGGAAATTTTATTGGTTGMTAAAAGTAATAAGCCTTTCAAAAATGAACCCAGTGTCACCTCACCCATTTCAACATGGCAGGCGACGATTGATAAGAATCAGCAAGATGCAAAATTGACGTTCAAATTACTCGAAACATTCCTCGTTATGTTAGGATTTTTCTATTTGTATTATTGTTTACGTACCCCCAGTGTTGATACCAGAATACTGTACTGTACTGGGATAAGAAAWGTCGTTTTTAAGGTCGGGAATGGATGCTTCCACTTGCTCGCCTGAGATAGATGTTAGACGCACCCTCAGAGGAAAATGGACTCGTCCCAGACCCATACCGACAAAGAAATTGTCAGTTGAGCGTTTAAGACAATGGAATCTTCCACCGATCACAGCTTCTAAACCAGCAGTTGGTATTCTGATAAATACATCGAGAGGCTCATTAATTCCTTTCTCTTATTATTCATTACTGAGTTTTGTTCGTAGTCGCCCCTTTATCAATAAAATTAAAGCTACATCGAAGACAAAGTGATTGACACGCAAAATGACTTCCATGAACTTACTTAGAATTTCTAACTTGTAGTTTAATATACCATGGATTGCTCCCTTGGAATCTAAACTGGATGTTACCAGCTTGTCCAGGAACAGTTGGACAGTCGACTGCAACGAAGCTGATTTTCCATCTTCCATCGCCTTCARTGTACAAATCCATCGACCCTGACAAGAACATGGGCATTGTAATGAATGCGTTGTATTTGTAGTTGTAGTTGTAGTTGTTAGCATGCTGGCGGACGCTTAGTTAGAGAGCCCGGTGTTAAAATTTCCACCGATATCATATGGTGGCTGCATTTACTTTTTACCACGATTCAACTCAGAGACAAGTCACTCTAACAATGTCTAAGCAGGGGGTCAAGACACGCCCAGTGAAATATTCTCATRCACTATACCTTCTTTTGGACATCCCTCGCAAAGATCGTGAACTACTGCCTTGAYTGTTCCTTTGATTGGATCTAGGCCCAGTCCATCTCCTTTACCGTGGATCTCGACACACATGCCACAACCGAGAGAAGACTGGTAATTCGGTCCACCAGTTGCAACTCTAATCCATCCGGGTTGATTGGCGAGTGGAGACAGAGGATCCAGTGTGCAGGCMCCTTTGCCAACGGGGTATATTCCATAATAGGTGCCCTTTTTCAATAACCAGTTATAACCAGTTATATATGAAAGTATAAGATATACAGAGACTGAATATGAAGTGACAGCTATGCTCATTTGTGACCACTTTTATGAATGAAACGATCGTCGGTTTTTCAAGTTCATGGTGTGCAGTTTAGATTACTAATCTACATTTTAAGTTGTTTTGCTACTCTAACAACAAAGATTTCCAAATAAGTTATTGAATAGATAAATTATCAATGGGAATTCATTCAAAAGCACTTCACGCTAAAAAGAGACTACTGTCGAATGAAGTATACACTTATCATATTAAGCGACTCAACACTAATAAGTCACACAAACGACAAACTCTTTTCAATCTGTCTTTGTATTCATKATAAAGAGTCTTACATCACCATACGATCTCTTCTTGTATTTACTGTAAACTGTCTTCACGTTATCCAGGTTTGTCTCACCAACGGCTAAACAATCCTAAAGCATTATGAACAAAATTAAACGATGGTAGTTACCATACCTACAGCCAATCAAWAACGGACGAATATACATACTGAATAACTATTGAAATGCATATATATCAAGTTATATTCTCGATATGATTGGGTAAATGCTGTAGATATTCGGTTTTCCATTTCTGCTGAAGTCAGATGCAACATTTTGCATTTCTAAGTGGAGTGAGAGATACTCCTTGTCATCATGCATCGCTAAATTAACAGTGATATCTCTTGCTAAGTGACTCGTGATCATTGTACCTTAATGAAGATTGCGGCAATAAGAACCAGCCAAGTGGCCATTGTTTGCAGAGRTATTCCAGTTAAGTATTACAAACACTGYTCAACGMACGATGACTAGTGCAGATACAGTGGAGAACAGTTGATTTTGGACCTATTGCCGCTAGGTCMAGTTTTTCTTGAAKAACTCATGTTTGTTTAACTGTATTGATCTTTAAACCAMWGTTGACAGTGGCATGAAACAAAACAAATGTTACCTGACAAGAAGTATTTGCTTATGTCATGATATCAAACAGTGTGGACGGGGCCTTTGTTCCTTTTTTGATTGTTCATGATGACGATGGTGATGATGATGATGTTGATGATGATGATTATCATGATGGTGATGGTGATGGTGATGGTTACTCTATTGTTAGTGTTTTGAGGAAGAAGAACTTTCCCTGCAGACCATTTCTGACGCGCGTGGGCTCCAGGTATGAAATTATGTGGATGGCGGCACAATAATGCCGGTAAAAAGGTAGTGCACTCGAAGAGGTACCTGATCGATTTATAAAGATAAGAAATGTTTACGAATCAGTATAAAGTTTCTAGTTATGCCGGGAATTAAGTTATTAGTGAGAAATCTTCATATGCTGACATTGTGGTATGATTATTGCAGAAATTATTGGTACCGGCTGATGCGAAATTTAAGATTCTTTAGCATTGGTGGATATAGATTACCCCATGGAAACTTGGAATACTGGAATAATTCAATTAACCATCCTCCATTTCATGATTTCATTTTCATAAGAGTTGTCTTATGATGAGCAGATGATTACGCCTAACACATGAACATTTGATCAGAATTTGACATGATGGAAAATTGAAAAGTTGATTGCCTTCTGAAAAGAAAATCAGGTAAATTGTGTAATTATTTAAAGCTTGTGTATTCTGATGAATAATTTTATGCATGTTGTAAAGAGATGATTAAATTTAACAACGTAGAGCTAGCTGATCAAGACAATTTGTAAAGACGGACGAAAAGCCGAATATTTTCAAACTTAGATTAAATTCTCAAAAGTCGTTGAGTGAGAAAAAATTTCATTGTGATTTACGAAGTACGAAGCGCACTGAGTATACGTATTATAAATTTTACCACGAATTACAGATAACAAATAAAGTCCGGAAAGGTATATGCGTGTAACCGCAGGTACTGGTGGAATTGCTTTATCTACACCGTAAAGATGAGAAACATAGGTCATGTTTCCATCCAAAGGCAGGTGATTGGCTAGCCTACGCATGCGTAGCTGGCTCGTTTAGGGAAAAACAATTAGCCAGGCTTGCTATTGAATATCATTCTTCGATGTTAAGAGAAGCATCATGAATAACATCATGATTTTTATGATAAAGTTCGACGAGACAGTGTGCAGTTTCTTTCTTTTTATTAATTTGTCGTGGTTGATGTTGTTTTTCGTTTTTTATCGATCTGTTTCCATAGAAACATTACAGGCTTAACAGATATTCACAGGAAATCCATTAGATCTTGCATGAATAATCTCATGAATAATCTCATTTCGACTATAAAAATATACGTTCACTATGCAACGAGAAATCATATTAAGTTAAAATGTGTTATATGAAAGTTAATAAAAAGTTACATCAGTGAGCAAGGTCGGATACAAACTTTTTCAGGGAAGGGCGGGAAAAATTTCCACTCAAACAATCTCCAATAGCGCACCCAGGGGGTGATTTTGATATATTCTATTTATTAACACTTTAAATTTCTTTATGACAGTCCACGCAGAAACTGTTTTTTTTTAATGGATCAAAGTCAACGCAGTCCAACTGGCTGTCTCCACCCTGATAAGACGATGAAATCAATCTTATCTTAGAATCTTATTTCGTGACTTTTCCCTAGTACATTAGAAGTTATTTTAAAACAACACGCATAACTCATCGTGTCCACACTATTCCGGGGTAAAGCACTTAATTTTTATTTCAAGGCAAAAAGGCTAAATAAATTATGTTCACTCTTAAAGACTRAGCTTTCAGTATGAATACGCATAATTACTATTCAGAAATTCACCTGAACTATACATATATCAGAGATCTTTTGATAACAAGAAACAATTATCACAGAGATCAGAGGTGTTTCAAATTTCTCTCAAAATTGTCTCTTGGTCAGCTCCCATACCCTGAAAATAGGTGAGATTATAGTTAAAACCGGCTCAATATATAAATTTAACTGCATCAATTTGTTTAAGAAAAAAACTTTGTATAAATTATTCTAAATATATGGCTGATGTATTTATACGTTTTGGCAATGACACTTCCTTTTTATTCTTTTTCTTCTTGTTTTTGTCACAGGGTTCAAATACATACCTCCATTTAGCGATTAATGATTAGAGAGAGAAAAACAAACTTAAATGAATTACCTTAAATCAGTTTTTTATCAGACTAGCAAGACATCGACCGACTATCAACTTTCTTTCATTTGATCACGATCGATTTACAAAAACCTAAAATTAATAACCGTCAAAATTGATTGTACAATAGATTCCTAATGATCTCACACTTTTTTGTGATTCAGATATAACTGAAAAAGTTCTTGATGAGGCCAAACATCAACAGGTGTTGTTAAGTCAATTTTAAATTGAAATACGACCAATCAAGTTCAAAAAGAAACTGTTGAGAGCTAGATGATCAAGCTAAAACGATATGAATCA